GTATAACTCACATATAGTGAAGTACACAGATCTTTCTTTCCTTCTTATTGAATTTACTGGGGTGACATTGGTTAATACAATTATGCAGGTTTCAGGTGTACAATTCTATAATACCTCAAAAAATTAAAATTGGAACTACCTTATGACCTAGTGATTTAACTTTTGGGAATATATCCTAAGAAACCCAAAATGCTAATTTGAAAGATTATATGAACACCTATGTTCATTGCAGCATTATTTACAAAGTACACAGATCTTAAGGGTACACTTCAATCAGTTCAGAGCAATATATATTCCTGTAATCTGCACCACTATCAGGATACCAAACATTTGAATCCTTCAAGAATGTTCCATTATGCTCTTCTCAGTCAACCCATATCTCCACAGTAGAGGCAACATAATAGTAGAGGTAACTGTTATTCTTTTTTTTTTTTTTTTAATCATCACCTGAGGATTTTTTTTTTAATTGATTTTGGAGAGAGAGAAGGAAGAGAGAGAGAAACATCAATGTGAAAAAGAAATAACTATTGTTTGCCTCCCCTACATGCCCTGACTGGTAATTGAACCCACAACCTTTTGGTGTACTGGATGATGCTTCAACCAACTAACCAACCTGGCCAGGAGGAGACAACTATTATTCTGACTTCTAACACGGTTGGTTACTTTTGCTTATTCCAGGACTTCATGAAGGTGGAATTATACAGTGTGACTCCTGTATCTGGCTCCTTTCACTCAGGATAAAGCTTCTGAGGTTTGTTCATGTGTCATGTGCACCAGTGCTCCCCCTTTTCATTGCTGAGCAGTTCTCTGCACACAAATGCCACAGCTGGTATTCACTCACCTATACTGATTGCCTTTTAGGGTTGTTTTCAGTTTTTTTGCTATTTCAAATATTGCTGCTACAAACATTCATGTATGAGTCTCTGTGTGGACATCTGGTTTCCTTTCTCTTGGATGAATATCTACAAATTGGCTGGGTCATATGGTAAGTTTACATTTATCTTTTAAAGAAATTGATAGTTTTCTAAAGTGATTGTAACAATTTATAGCAATCTATAAAAATTCCACTTGATCCATATCCTCTTTCAACTTGGTATTGTTAGTCTTTTTATCTTAGCCATTCTGTGTGTGGCGGTGTCTCATTCTGATTTTCATTTATTTTTCCTGATGATTAATAATACTGAGCATCTTCTTGGTGTTTATTGACCATTTAGATGTTGTGTGTGTGTGTGTGTGTGTGTGTATGTGTATTTCACTAAAATGGGAACTAAAATGCCCATCCATTAGTGACTGGATACTGGACTGGTGTCACTGAAAACCTCATCACTTGCACAAACACGGCAGCATAATATAGCCAATTAGGCAAAAAGACCTTCTCTTTGGCCTTCTAAATCTCATAGGGGGGCCTCTAATTAGCAGAGCTGGAGCTGCATCCAGAACCCCTATGAGAAACAGGATTAGCTTTTCATCTCACCCCAGGGAAGATGGAAGGAGCAGTGAATGGACCCGGAGTGCCCATCCCCAGTCCCCCATGCAGTGGGTCAGCGCTGCCTTTGATCTGCCCTGGAGGCTGGTGAATGCTCAAGGCCAGGCTGTGCTCCAGTGGTGGCACATGAAATGGTTTAGGCCCCAAATAATACAAAGTCACATTGAATCCCATCATGAGAGAGTGTACAACTTTTGAATATCTTTTAATGCATCAAATGATATGAAGGAGAGAGGCTCTGGGTGGTAAAGAATTAATCTTACCCAAAGAGAGGTCTGACTTTTGCCCTCAGCTCTGGGAAGGCATGCCCCTGGAATGTCCTGCCTCTAAAGAGCATCTTTCTTTACCTGGGGCTTTTTCTAACCATGGGATTGACTGGGGGGAGGGGGGGGGAGAGAAAGGGGGGGAGTCTTTGGGCCACAGGTACCAGCTCAGCCTCCAAAGGGATTGGAAACTAGGTGACCGTGGGGATGGTCTCTGAGGTCTTTGACTGAGCTCCCATGAAAGCTCTGGACCCAAGGCTTGCAGGAGCTTCCCTGGTTGGCAGTACCTCATGGAAGCTGTCACACATTGTTGCCAGTGGGTAGCACTGTCCACGACCGCACTGGGAGAGGACAATTGGAAGCTTTGTGCTTGGAACTTTCCTGGTCTCTGCCCATGTGTCTCTTTTCTTGGCAAATACTAATCTGGTTTCTGTCACTGTAATAAATTGCAACTGAGGTATAACGGCTCTCGGTGAGATATATGAGTCCTTTGAGTGGATCTTTGACCCTAAGGGTGGCCTTGGGGACAAACGCAGCTGGTGTCAGAAGTGGGGGCGGTCTTGTCCTCCCGAACTCTGCAGTGTGTTTGAGCAGACAATTGATGGTCCCTCCAACTGAGCAGCTCTGGCTCCTGGCTCAGACCCCTCGGCCAACAAGTCGGTTTCCAGCTAGAATGCACTTAATCTTTTTGCTTGTTACTTTCCACTGGGTTTATCTTTATAGCTATCTTCTATTTATATCAAGCAGTAGCGATTTTCCATATATGACTATAACTTTTAAAATAATGTATTTAAGTTAAAAAGAGAGTTGACCATTTGTATGTATATGTGTACATATGTAATATACATATAATATGTATATGAGTGATATTCCCTCCTGATTAGGCATCTGTTCTGTTGCTGGTAGCTGCCAATCAAAAATACTTTTAGTATTCTCCCTATATGTATATCACATACAATGTCCATCACATATATATGTGTTATTCATAATTTATGTGTATATACATAATACAGAATATGTCACATATTTATGATACATATCACATATATGTGTTTGTTTTCTTTCTTTTTATAAAATATATTTTATTGATTTTTTACAGAGAGGGAGAGAGAGGGATAGATAGAAACATCAATCAGCTGCCTCCTGTACACCCCTACTCGAAATGTGCCCACAACCAAGGTACATATCCTTGATGGGAATCGAACCTGGGACCTTTCAGTCAGCAGGTTGACGCTCTATCCACTAAGCCAAACCGATTTCAGCTATGTGTTTGTTTTCATTAGGTTTTTCTTTCTGGCTATGTTCTTTTACTTTTTTTTTTTTTTTTTTAATATATCTTATTGATTTTGTACAGAGAGGAAGGGAGAGAGATAGAGAGTTAGAAACATCGATGAGAGAGAGAGTCATCGATCAGTTGCCTCTTGCACACCCCCTACTGGGGATATGCCCGCAACCAAGGTACATGCCCTTGACCGGAATCGAACCTGGGTCCCTTCAGTCCCCAAGCCGACACTCTATCCATTGAGCTAAACCGGTTTCAGCATTGGCTATGTTCTTTTTATATGAAGCAGTGTTTTTTCCATACATGCTAGTGTTTTTAAAATAAATGTACTTAAGATTTAAAGTGAGTTGATTTATTAAAAGTAAATAATAATGCGGGTAGGATGAACTTGTGGCAAAAACTGAGGAGAGGAGATATATATACATATGGCTATATTATTTGATACACTGATATTTCCTTTTATATCTTACCAGTGACCCAGTGCACAAAATCATGCAGCCCCACCCACCCACGCGCGTACCTGGCCCACCTGCTGGCAGCCCTGCCTTGACACCCTAACCTCTCCACCCAGAGCTCAAGCCCACCTGGCCCCACCCCTGCCCCCTCCGGCCTTCTCTGGCTGCTTCAAGCCCCACCCTCAGTCTCGTGAGTCACCTCGGGCTGGTTCCGCATCCTCCAGGTGCCTCTCCAATCTCTGGGCTTCCCCCCAATCTCCGGAGCACCGCTGCAGCTCCACCCTGTCATGTACTAGAGAAGAGCATGGAAGCCTACTGCGTAGTTTTAAGCTTGGCTTCCTGTCTGTGCTCTTGGCTTCCTGGCAGGTGGGCGGTTGATGTGCTGAGTATAAGCAGGGGGTGGTGAAGGACTAGTGAGGGGGGCACTACAGGCTCTCACCCCTGCCCTCCCTGCCTCCCTACCTCCCCCACAGGATGGTGCTGCCTCCTCCTGGGGCTTCCCTGCTTCCCAGGCCATGTCTCCAGAGCAAGGTGGTGGCTCCGCTCTGCCACACACGCAACATGAGGGCATCACAACCATTAGCATATTAGCTCTTTATTGTATAGGATTACTTCTTTTAAGTTACTCACAGCCCACTAAACTGATTTTGTAATCCATGAATAGGCTGTGACCTGAAGTTTGTGAAATACTCTTATGCAACCACCTGTGAACAGGACCTTATCCCTTTACTTTGGCAGAGTGACCCTTAAACCCTTGGGGCCTCTGCCCCAAGCCCTGTACTTCAGAGGGCCTGCTCTGGCCTGGTCTGGTTGAGCCCCTCCTCACAGGCTGAAGAACCCAGGAGCCTACAAGAAGTGTCCATTGGAGCCTATGCTATACTTAACCATGCTCTGGGAACCTGCGACCCAGTTCCCATCCAAACTTCTCTGAGCCCCCTCCAGGGTCTCTGTTGTCTTCTTGGTGGGCACTCTCTTAAATCGAGAGGCAGCCCAATCTGTGGCTGGTGATGTGGATGAAGCTCGGACATGCAGACTGGGTGTCCACACTCATGTAAGGCCTACACTCATGTGTGCATGCTGGAGGGACCAGACTGTGAAGAAAAGGGGGCCACCAAGGGGCTGGGACCTCCCCTGTGCTAGCCCAGTTACCAAGGCTACCTACTAATGTTAGGGGTAAGCTGACATTGGACACCAGGCTCTGTGCATGGACCAGGCAGATGGTCTCAAGTTGTCGTAGGTAGAATCCAGCACTGGCCAGAACCCCTGCAGCCCTTTCCCCATCTCCCCTGCTTCATCTCAGTCTAGCTTCATCCACTATATCTCTTACCTTGTTTTTTCAGTGTGACCTCCTCACTGACCCTCAGGCAGCCTGTCCCCAGCTCCTGCCACTTTCTTCCACTCCCAGTCATGAATGACCAGAGATTAAGAGACAAGAATTGCATGCTTTATTTTTTTCTGAACAGAATGGTCAATGTGGGGGCAGTGCCTGGCAAGCTGGACAGCCCTCAAGGCAGTCAGGGTTGGGAAGGTAGGGGGTTCCGGCCATCGGCTCTGGCTCCATCTGGGTCTTCCCTCTCAGGTTGGGCTTTTGTGACTCTGTAGGCTCTGTGAGGGAAGGGAGCAGGTGGGCATGGTAAGCTGGTGGCAGCTTGGTCATCAGCCCCCATTTATGATGGACTCACCTGTTATGATTCCGGCATAATCGGGGCAACTGCCTACACTTGCCACCTGTGGATGAAGGAAATGATCCAATCACAAGTTGGAACAATATTGATTTCTCTCTGTGTGTGTGTGTGTGTGTATGTGTGTGTGTGTGTGTGTGTGTGCGTGCGCGCACGCACGCGCGCACTTTGGATGCTGGAGGACAAGGCCCATCAACCTTGCTCCTCAAGAAGCACCAAGGAGCTTTGAGCAAGTGATAAGAAGCAGATAGAAAAGCAGGGCCTAAGGGAAGATCTTCTACCACACATGGAGGAGCACTTAGGAAACCTTCCTAACTTGTGTGTTATTCATTCCACAAATGTTTACTGTGTACCGACTATGTGCCAGGCACTGACCTAGCCCTGGGAATACGGCCAGGAACAAGAGTGACTAGAATACTTGCTCTAGTAGAGCTGGCTTTTAGTGGGGGAGACAGGGATAAGATCAATAGCCTCGCCCTGACCAGCTGGCTCAGTTGGTTGGAATGTCAACCAGTGCACCAAAAGATGGCAGGTTGGATCCCTGGTCAGAGCACATACATAGGTTGTGGGTTCGATCTCTACTTGGGGCATGTATGGGAGGCAACCAATTGATATTCCTCTCTCACATCTATTCTCTCTCTCTCTCTCTCTCTCTCTCTCTCTCTCTCTCTCTCTCTCTCTCATCAATTAAAAAAAACAACCACCATATCCTCAGATGAGAATTAAAAAAAAACAACACAAAACCAAGACAAGTGTGCAGGCAGTGATAAGTCAGAAAGTGATGCGTGCTATAAAGAAAAAGCCAGGAAGGAGGCAGAAGGCCTGAAAGCGGTGATGGGGGAGCCACTTGGACATCTGGAGGAAGGTATTCCACAGAGTGAAGTCACTGCCAAGGCCCTGGGATAGGAAGGAACAGGTGGGCTTAAGGAGCAGCAGGGAGGCCAGGAGGCTGGACCACAGTGAATGAGAGGGATTTTTAGAAGACAAAGGGAGCTCCTGGCCACCACCCTTACTTCCCAGGTTCCTGGCCTGTTCAGCCTCTTTCCACAGTTACTGCCACATGCTCAGCTCACTACTGCACCTGGGGCTCCTCCCACTGCCTCTTTGGCTTTTTTAATCATCTTTCTCATCCTCAGGAATCAGTTCTGATTTCACCTCTTGAGAGAGAGCAACTCTCCCTTTCCCTCAGTCACATCATATGGGTTTATTTTCCTTGTGGTTGTTACCTTTCTCTATATTTACTCTGCTCATTAGTGCATTTACCTACTATGTGCCAGGCATTGACCTACTGCTTGTTTGTTGTCATCCCATTGTGAGTTCTGAGCTCCCCAGAGAAAGACCAGCATTATGGCACAGGTGGGTGCCCAAAATATTTGTCTCTGGAACAATTTATGGCCCCAGAACTAACATTCAGGCTCTGTCCTCACACAGACCTGGATCCAGTCCAACTCTCTGAGCCTCACTTTTCCCACAGGGGAGAGAATAAGCTAGGCACAAAGTCAGGATCAACAAACACATGTTGCTTGACCCCTGATTCAATGAGGTTCAGACACATGTTAACGTGCTAATCTCTTTTTATTACTGCCAGTGTTCTGCCTCCCACCTTAAGTAAAAACTATATGGCTATGCCCATTCTCCTGATGAGAAAGTTGGATAAGAGGGGTTATAAAACTTGTGTAGGTTACGTGGTTTAACTGAGAGCTTGCAAATAGGTGGCCTTAGTGTTTATTTAATGTGCAGCATTTTAAAAGCTTTCTCAAAAGTAGTTATTCTGCTTGTTAGTCTCCTGCTCCCTTCCCCATGTGATGCTGGGCCCTGGGAGCCAGCTGGCCGGAAACGCCAAAGTCCCAGCCCCTCGCCCTCTACTTCAGCATTGGCAGAGGCACTGCAGGAGAGAGCAGGACCGGAGAGAGAGGTTTATGTATCTGGTCCCCTCCATCCTGCTCCCTCCTAGCTGGGTTACAATGATGCAGTGGCTACAAACCTCTCTGACAGTTCTCTCTCTTCACCCTTCATGCCAGTGTAATTACAGCTCCCTATTGCTATTAGTCTTGGGTACTGCACCATCTGGTTATCCTGCTACCATCACATGAACAAGCCAAGGCCAATGAGGGGAAGAACCAAGGTGCCAACAGAAACAAAGGTTCCTGCTGACCTGCAGCTGAACTCAGATACATGAATAAACACAGCAGCAACCAGAACTACCCAGCTGAGCCCAGCCTACATTTCCAAATTGCAGAATTGAAAGCTAAGTAGATGGCTGCCATTTTAAGTCACTGAAGTCTGTGGTAGTTTGTATGGCTATAAAACTAAGGGATATGCCTCATTTAAAATTGCCTTGCCTAGGAGCCTTCATGAACCTACCCCCAACCTGGGTTATAGTGCACCCCAAGGCCTCCTTCCTCCCAGTCTTGGTGCCCCTCCCACCCAATGCCCATTCTCACTGGTGAGGATCACAATGCCTGTGATGAACAGCACAGCTGCAACCAACAGCCCCCGTTTCCGGAGAGTGTACACATCTGCAGAGAGAAAAGTGGAGGAGTGTGGTAAGAAGGCCTTAACCCGTCCTTCCCCTTGAATCCTCCCTGGGTAACTTACCATAGGAGAAGGGATCGTCCTCACTTGAATCTGCAAGGGACAGACAGGGAGCAAGTTGAAGTTCAGCAAAACATTGTGAAGTGAACCAGTGAATGACAGGGTCAGGGAGAGGGGACATCTGTGTCTCAGTGTTGGTGCACTTAGAGCAAAACCTAAATCTCTCAGGTGGCACACAATCTGGCTCCCATCACCTCCCTAACTTTACCTCCTCAAACTCCCCTCATCATTTGTTCCATCCCTGCTCATGGCCTGCCAGATCACTGCAGGCCTCGGCACTGGCTTCTCCGGATATCCTCATTGCTTCCCCTTCAACTCCTCAAGAGGCTTCCATGCCATTTACAAAATGATCCTAGTCACCCTGTTTTATTTTTCTTGGTAACAACTTTAAAACCACATGACATATAATTAATATAGCTATTATTTTTGTCTCTCTCTCCCCCACTAGAATGCCTGTTCTGTAAGGGCAAAGATTTTTATTACTTTATTCACTGCTGTATCCTGGCACAGTGCCTGGCACAGAGGTGAATATCTTTTGAATGAATGAATGAATGTGTTGCATGGGCATATCATTTCCATCTGCTCATTGGGGCTGGCTGGTCAGGAAGTGGAAAATAGAACAAGGGGAAGAATCATGGCACCTCTAGAAACAGAGCTCCTTGCTGACCCCCCAGAATGATCTCAGATGCTTAAGTCCAGGTGAGAGCAGGAGAACCACCCAGCTGAGCCCAGATTAAACTTCCAAATTGCAGACTCAAGTTTCTCAAAAACTAAAAAAAATGGCCAGGACCGGTTTGGCTCAATGGATAGAGCGTCGGCTTGGGGACTGACGGGTCCCGAGTTCGATTCCGGTCAAGGGCATGTACCTTGCTTGCGGGCATATCCCCAGTAGGGGGTGTGCAAGAGGCAGCTAATCGATGACTCTCTCTCATCGATGTTTCTAACTCTTTATCTCTCTCCCTTCCTCTCTGTATAAAATCAATAAAATATATTTTTAAAAAACTTAAAAAAATGATTGTCATTTTGAGTAACTGAGTTTTGGGGTGGCTTTCATGCAACATTCATTTATGTATTCATTCATCATATATTGGGCCTCTCTCCCGTACCCTCCCTCTACCAGCCTTGAAGTTGTGTATTCACCCACCATGTTTACTGAGGCAGTATTCCAGGTGCTATAATAGAACACAAAGTGAGTAGGAAATAGCCTGTTTTCAATCTGGGGAGTTACTGACCAGAGGACTGGCGGGCAGGGTCTGCCGTGAAGTCTTTGTCTGGAGACTGCTTGGAGAGTGTGGTGCCTTTGATGGGATCAGCTGGGAGCGCGGCCAAAAGATGATGGAGGGCAGGAGCGAGCATGGAGGAAACAAGGGGCATCACCGCACGTGTCTTTGTGAGAAACCCCTTCCCACACCTACACATGTAGTGGGCGGGCACAGTGTCCCCACTCCGACCCCACTCCGACCCAGTGAATAATGAATATATTGAAATTCCCCCAACCTCCTGACCCCTCTCCTAGGACTTTGTAGACGGCCCCAGACCCAGGAAGTAAAGGATAACATCTGTCATAACCAGGCCGGGTGCCCCCAGGACCTGGAGGCACTTGTTATAAAACATTTTGAATATCGCCTCTGCTCCCAGGCCAAAAATACCAGAGGATCCTCCTCTTGACCTGCCCCTCTGGCATGACAAGAGTTCCAGTGAAATGGCTACTACTGTCTAATGTCCCAGGGTGACGTCAATAGGCAAAAAAGCTGTCTCATGAGCCCTGAGCTCCCCAGGCCAATCCAAGCTCCTCACTCCCAAAATATGAACCATCAGCCAAGGATGCTGACATGTTCGGGAAAGCCTTGCCCAGAGGTAGGCGAGATTAATAGCAGGGACAGAAAATGTAAAGGACAGCCTGGGTGGCATGTGGTGCTGAGGCACGATGGCCCTCCAGAGCCTGCTCAGAGTCTAGTTCTGCCACTTGTGCTGTGGCTCAGGGGTAGCAGAGTAACCTCTCTGGGCCTCGTTCCCTCCCTGTAAAAGGGGGTTAGATGTGGTTGTGAACATTGAGTGAAAGCTTAGCACAGGGTCCAGCACTGAGCAAAGTCCCGGCAAATGTTGGCTGTTATCATCTACTTGGCACGCACTGTTCCCTGCTTTTGAGAACAGCTTTGAGGGAGGAGGTGCTCAGGCTTCCCTAGTCTATCTTGTTCGCCATCGTAACCCAGGCCACAAGGGGGAGCACGTGACCCAGTCTTGCCTTTCCCTGGGATCTTGGAAATTCCAAGAAGAGGTTCTCAGTGGAAGCTAGGTGAAGCTTGGGCAGCTCTGAACGCAGATGACGGGAACCAAGGGGGAGACAAGCTCCGCACAAGAGAAACAAAGATGGTGGCAGAGAGGCACTGGGGGCTTCTGTGCTCGGGGTCTGGGCAGCCCTGAGGCTCAGCGGAATTTCGGTCACACATAGCCAGGAGTATGGGACAGCACACAGAAGGGCTCAGAGCAAGTGAATGAGGCACATGGAGGTGACTTCTCAATTGGGAAGTGTGGACAGAGTTGCTACACCCCACTTGGGGATGTTCCCTTCCCCAAGACCCTTCATTTCCATCAGTCATAAAATAGATTCTGTCCTACTGCGGTAGTTTACTGCCATCACTGGAAAACTAACACTTACAAAGTCTGTTATAGGGGACGGCAGGGCCTTTGAGGTGGGGCTCTTGCCCAGTGCCCAAAACGCACACTGTGGCTGTATCTCAGCTGAGGAGTGGCCCAAGAGAGGCTGCTCCTCAAATATGGAGCATCACACAGGCCACCTTTCACCTGGTCTCAGCCCCTTCCCCATCTCTGGTCACATTGTTGCTCACTGGTATTGAGGGGAATCACCTCTTCCCTGACTCTTGGTCTACGCAATTCAGACAAGGCTGACCAGGTTCTTCAGCCCTAGGATGCAGACACAAAACTCAGGCCTGACCAGCCCTTTTCCCAGATTCGCATTGGTCAGACATGGGCATGTGACCCCAGTTGCACCAATGAAAGTCAATTCTAGACCTTGGGGTGCAGATGATGAGAAAGAGATGTGCTCTAGCTGCTGAGTTTGGTCCCTAAACTTAGAACTATGGGACCATCTTTGCCACCAAGAGGGAGAAAGCCACTTGAGAATGAAAACAACAGAGAAGGAGCAAGTCAGTAATGATGACTTGAGCTCCTTGATCCAACCATGCCTGAAAGTGGTGCCTCTGGACTTCACAGCACATGCACAGCCAGTAAGCTTTGATTTTAGCTGGGTTTTCTGTAATTTACACCTGAAAAGCTCCTGCTCTAACAAGAATACATACACAAGGGAAACACCTTGGCCACGTTTTCTGGCCCCAAACCCGTGAAAGAACCTGAACAAAAGAGGATCCTGAGTCTATTAGGCTTGGAAAATGTCCCAAATTAGATTCCCATCTTGGGAACACTTGCTGCAAACAGGTTGTTGAGACTCTAAAATATCCTACCAGAAGGAAACGTGATTAACTTTATCTCAGAGTTTTGCAAACACCTTTGACAGCAAATCCCACTGAGCCACACAAACTGGGCAAATAAAATAAAAAATTTGGAAGATGTATTAAGAATTCCCCAAACGGGTGCTCTGAGAAATACCCTTGGGGAAAAGCTGACCTAGAAGATAATTAAACAAAACTTGCATGTTGCTGTTCTAGTGCGAGGCTCTACCTTCCGTGCTGCTCTCATCCGTCCCCGGGTCTGTGGTAAGAGGCACAGTCTCTCCCTTCAGTTGCTGGGTCTGGGTCATCTGGTTCGATGTTTCTACTGAGGTCAGAAGAGCAGGAAAGAGAGGGCAAGAGATGAGTGAGTGAGCAGCATGGATCCATAGAACTGCAAGGGGCCCTCTTCCCACTGGCACAAATCAATGACGCTCCTAAGCCAGTGGCACAGTGGGAGTGGGACAGGGGGGCTCGTGGACTGCTGGTGGCAGGCAAATCAGTGCAGCCATTTCCAAATGGCTTTGAAAACAAATGTTAGTGTTCATGTCCTTAGCCCCATTGTGTTGTGGGCAAACCTGGGCTCTAGAGCTAGGTTCCTGGACCCTGATCCCAGCCATGTCACCGACATGCAGTGACAATTTGAGTAAGTTACTCTGAGCTTCCATGTCCCTATCTCTAAGGTGGGGATAAGGATCATTTCTACCTTAGAGGTTTTGTGTGAAGGTTGAACAAGTGAACAAGTATAAAATATTTAAACCCAAACAGTCACATAAGTACTGTATTTGATCAAAGGGAAAGGAACAAGATTGCTCATTGTGACACTGTGTGTAGCAGAAAAACCTGGAAGTGACCAAGGTGCTCATCAAGATGTGCAGAGAGGCCTGGCTTCTGTGGCTCAGTTGGTTGGGTGTCATCCCATGTTCCAAAAGGTCACCGGTTCAATTCCCAGTCAGGCCACAAATCCCGGTTGCTGGGGCCTGATTCCCAGTTGTGGGCATGCAGGAGGCAGCCAATTGATGTTCTGCTCTCACATCAATGTTTCTCTCTCTCCCTCTCCCTTCCTCTCTCTCTAAAAATCAATAAAAATACATATTTTAAAAAGATGTGCATCAATTCATTAACTGTACACAGGAGAACACAGCAGTGAAAAAGAACAAGATCATTGTCTATATGGGAATGTGGGAAGAACTTCCAAACATTATTTCATGGGGGGAAAAGGCCAGTTGCAGAAAAATAATCATACAACATCCTTAAGCCCATACAAATATACCTCCCAGTCAGCATATTTTCTCCAGGTTACACTCACGTGATACAATCTCATTGGGGATCTACTCCCAACCCAATGCTAACAGTGGGGGCCTCCCTAAGATAGGAGAGACAGCAAGGATGGGGAATGAGCAAAGGGATTTCGTCTTGCCCACCACATTGTTATTACTTCCAAGAAGAATGTATTTGCATACATCTGTATCATTAAACATTAATGGAAAATATTGGGGAGCACTTTTTGAATTATGTTAGACTCCAAGAAAAAGTTCAAAAATGAGTTGAAATATTTTTAAAAATGGAAAAAGATAAAGAGATTAAAGGAAGAAGCCAATGGAGTTGGCACATAGGGAGTTTCTGGGGTGTTTGCAAAACTATTCTTTGACTTAGTGGTGGTTACACAGGGGTTCAATTCAGAATAATTTGCTAAATTGTACATTTATGTTTTTTGTACTTTTCTACATGCATATTATTTTTCAAGAGTCCAAAAGATTATTTTTAAAGAAGTGAATGAGTTGGCTGGCTGTCCAACCGTACATCAAACTGGGGGGCTGGGAGTTGGGAGGGTTGAAATGAGTAACCAAAGACCCAGAGTGTCAGGGGAAGCGGGGAAATAATGTTGGTCCCAGGCCTACCTCCCCCCATATCACTGCCCCACTCACCACCAGCCTGCAGGGTTGAAGTCTGAGGGGTGGACTGGAATTCTGGATGAACTGCGTCTGAAGTCCAGAAACAGGGAGAGAAGAGAGAAGAGGTGAGAAGGTCCATGAATGGAGGTACAGGAGTATTTCCATAGCAACACAATTTTGATGTCATGGAAATGACTTAATTAATCCAGCCATTTCCTTGTTGCCTAAATGCAATGGCAGTATCTTCCCTGCCTCAGGCCCTGCCCTCCCACCGATTCCCATTCCCCTTCTCAGCATCCAACCACCTCTGGTAAGAGCCCTGGGACTTCCTTTGGGAACCATCCTTCCCCAGCTCTCAGCCTATTTAACTCAGGGGGTGGGAGTTGGGGAGGCTGGCACCAGCCCGGTTGGAGGTTGAATATGAGGCCCAGGTCTGGCTAATCAGCTTTCTGTGTCTGTGGCCACAATGACCAGCTCACATGTGGGCATGTGACCTGAGCTTGATCAATGACACTCGGTTCTGGGACATTTGTTAGAATGGGGAAGGGAAAATTCTCTTCCCTCTGGATTCTTAGCAGGTAGGATGGAAGTCCCAGGTATCTAAATGCCATTTTGGCACTATAATGGGAAATCTGCCTGAGAATGAAGCCAACACAGAGAAAACAGAACCAAGAGATGAAGACAGGCTCCTGATAGCATCATTTGTGAACCTAGATCAAGCCATACCTGAAGGTCTATCCTGGATTTTCCAGTTACACAAATTCAAAAATACCTGTTTGGTCCAGCTTGAGAATTGTATTGCCATTGTTACTTACAATGACAGGATCTTGCCAGATCTATCCCTCTTTCCTCACCTGGGGTTTGAGTCAGGGCATGAATGTTCACAGTGGTTGAGTCTGCTAGAGAAATGGATGTGGCCTCCTCCAATTTCTGTCCTGAGAAAGCAAGGATGAGAAGCCAGGCTCTGGTCCTCCTCTCACCAACACCCCTACTTGCCCTCCCTTCTGAAGCCTTTGGGGGTGTGACTCAGGAGGTCCTTCTGCCAGTAGAACAGCAGACAGCTCTTTGATTGATCAGCTTTGGTAGTATCAATACATGATCTTAGAAGTGTTTTAAGAAATGCTAATGCCCAACACCCTTCCCCCATCTTTGTGGGATGGGAGATTTGTGTGAGCCCAGGCACTCGAGTCAGCCAGGGCCTCATCTTAAATTCTGCTCCCAACCACTCCCTTGCTGTGTCACCCACTCTGAGCCTCAACTGCAAGGTGGGGATGACCGAGTCTACGTCTCAGGCCTTAGAGAGTGTGAAATGAGATGGGGGTAGAGTCTCCCCCACTGCTTAGCATGCCGTCAGTGCCTCGCCCTGGCCCTACTGTCACTACTCTAACCTCTCCTTGTCCCATTCTGCCCCTGTTCACCCAACCCAACCCACCCTGTTCCTCAGACTCTCTCATTCCCCCAGGTACATGCTTGGCTCACTCCCTCATCTCTGGCAAGTGTCTGCCCAAATGTCATCTCCTCGTAAGGTCTTCCCTGAACACCTTATTCAAACAACCCTCATTCCTGCGCTCTATTTTTCTCCCTAACAGGAATCACCTTCCAGCATTCTATGTAATTTACCGATGGGTTTCTGTCTTTCCCAAATAGAATGTGAGCCCCTGTTTTGTACCCTGCTGTTTCCACAGTGCATGCAATAAGATCTGGCACATAGTAGCTGCTCAATGAATACTTGTTGCATGACTGAAGAAAGGCACAGGAACCATTGTGTCCAAGAGAGCTGCGGCAGTCAGTGGGAGTATGCTCTGGTTCTGGGACAGCAGCGTGACTGGGCCCAGCGCCTCCACTCACAAGCCTCTAGCCCAGGCACTTCCCTTTGCTGTGTCTATTTCTTCACTGTGAAATGGGCAGGGCAACATGTATAAGATAATACGGTAAAGCTGAAGGCCCGCTCCCACACACTGTCATGCAGAACGCACCTGCCAATGCCACCATTGCTGCTGCCTTCAGAAGCCTTTGCAGGCAAAGGGGAGACATCTCCAGCTCCTAGGCTGGCCCTGGCTCACCCCCTTTGCCTAACTGTGTATCACCAGGCATCCAGCGAGCTGCTCTGCTGGGAGCCCAGAGCTCCTGGCTGCTGAATAGAAAACTGACACCCACCTCCTCGCCAAATCAAACTCAGTTCTTTTGGGAGGTGAAATGGAGGCTGCTCAGCAGGACAGGCTCTGGCCAGACTTGGAGGCGGCCACCCAGGTCTGAGGTGTCCAAAAGGAATGCAATCTTGGTCCCTTCACAGGGACCCTCACTCCTGGTGCCAGCTCGGTAGGGAGTGAGGACCCAGGACAAGGCATCCAAACCCGCTAGCTGCCCACCCAGCAGGACCCTGGGGGTAGGCTGGGAGCTCCGGAGCAGGGTGGAGACAAGGGCTAGGTCTTACCTCTGGCCGGGAGAACCAGGCCCACAATGGTGAGGAGGTACAGGCGACCGGAGGGCGACATCTGTAGGGTGCGCAGGAGCTGGGGTCAGCCATGATGGCCGTGAGGCAGGCCCAGGGGGGCCCCAGGGATCCCTACAGCCCCTTCCCCACCCTGAGCAGGTGCTTCCGGTTTCAAGACCACCTACCAGGGCTAACAGGAAAGTCTCAGAATGGGGCCTCCAGCAGCCACCCCCTTCTTCCTTCTTCAGGTCTCCAAAGAAAACAAGGCACATCAGACAAAACTGGGCTTCAGGTAGCAGCCACTGTACACAGACACCACTGAGGCAGAGAAGCACCGGCCCCCAGGGACTGACCCTGCTGGGCACCCAGAGGGGCCTGGGCACAGGGGTAGATCCTGGGGCCCCTTCCCTCCCTCTGGGGCTGTCTCCCAGCCCAGGAGTCAGTCAGGAAGGGAAAGAGGAAGAGTGAGTAATGTGCTCCTGACCTCAGAGGAAAAAGTGAGTGGTGTCAGGACCTCCCTGCAGGGACGACAGAACAAGATGCTGGGCAGATCTGGGAGGGATGGTGCGAGAGGGAGAGGAAAGCAGAGGCAGGAGGAAGAGGGGCGGGGTAGCCCAAGACCCCTGTAAGGCAGAGCAGGCCGGGGAGCTAAGCGTGGATGGGGACAGAGAGGATCCGCTAAGACCAGTCTTTACTCACCTGGGCCCGGGCCCTGGGCAGAGGGGAGAGGGTGGTGGAGGGTCGGAGGAGAGACTTACGTCTGAGCGGGGTCGGAGCCGGCAGCCTCGTGGAGAGAGGGCAGCGGCGCTGCAGGCGGAGGGTGTGGCCAGGAGAGCGCCTGCGGGCTGCGGGCGGGGACCCAGACGGGCTCAGTCATTTCCTCTTGGGTTTCCTGGCTTCAGAGCCTGGGGTGGGAGCTGGAGGGGGAGACGCTACGGGTGACGGGGAGGGGGAGAGGGGCGAGAAGCCAGACAGGGACTGCCACCCACCAGGCCTGGGCCTAGGAGGTCTGGTTGGCTGGGGCTCCTTTGGGGACGGGGCGGTCGAGAAGGGAGGCACCTATTAGTGTCTCTAGAGGAGGATGCGGACAGGGCACAGCTCAGGGGGGGTTGCGGGGAGGGGGGGGGGAATCCTAGCAAGAGGAGGAGGCCGCTGGGGAAGAGGAAGAAGGAGGGACCGCTTGGGGACTTGGGCGAGGGCTCCCCCGGTTCAGCTTTGCTCCTCCCCCATTTGGTCCCCACAGATGAGAGCACACAGACAGAACAGGGGGAAACCAAATGCACATTTATTCAGCTCAGGACACAGACACCGAGGGCGCAGGAGGACGGATCTCTGGGGAGGAGACGGAGGTGCAGGGGGGGCAGTACCGGGAGCTCTGCGGGGCAGGGGGCGGGCTCTCGGGCTCCAGGGCCTGGAGGTCCGAGCCCCCCGTAGGTGGGATGCAGATGGGCTCTGTGGGGGGTCGTCATTGCCAAGGCCTGGGGAGGGGCAACGGGGTGCAGCGGGGTGCAGCGGCTCCAGCCTCAGGTGGGTGGGGCGGCTCATTCCGGGGAGAGCTCCCAGCAGCGCACAGCTGGGGTCCCCACCACCTCCACCCGGTCCGCAGGCTCCCACATCAGGCAGGGACAGCAGCGGAGGGGAGGCTGGCTTTACACACCGCCACCTCCTGGGGCTGGAGGGAGGGAGACACAGTTTAGGTCAGTGGCCAGAGCACCCCCTCCCCAGAGCCAGTGAGCGCATCCCCACCGTGGAATGCAGGGCCCCAAGAACTGACACATCTGAGACAGCGCTCCCGGATGAGTGGTCCATGCAGGGCACCCGTGTGTCTCTGTCCTGCCCTATAGGACAGTCACCGAGGGGATACACCTGTGCCTGAAGGGGACTCCCTGGCCCCGCTTGGGCTTCTCTGGGGCTCCCCCTGTCAGAAAAGGAGCCTCCACCTCCCACTTATGCTCCCACCCTCCCCCTTCCCCGCACCTGGCCTCCGGAACATTGGGGCACAACAGGACTCTCCTGTTCCCACCCCCATGGGCCCGTCACTCACCCGGAGCGGGTCAGAGCCCTGCCCAGTCCCTCAGAACGGCCCAGATATCAGGGCCTCCCCACCCCCAGGGTGTCCCCTTCATGCTTTTAAGTCTCATTAAAGAAAGTCCCATGAAACACTTGAAATCTGCCACCAAATCCCCCCCAAATATTGAGTACCCCAAAGCCCACTTTTTAGTTACAAGAACTTTATGAGAGGTAGAGAGATTCCCATCTGATTCTTCTAAATATCCCTGGAGAGGACGCAGGTCCAATAAAAACAGGTCAAGATATTTTTACATAATTAAAATTAACACTCCCAAGGAGGCAGTCTGTCTCTACATGCTCACCCCCTCCACGGCCTACATCTCTCTTCAGCTCCCTTTACACCTTCCACCCACCTCACCCACTCTCCCCCTGCAGTACCCTTCCTACTCCCCTCTGCACCCATCCCTCCATCCCCTTCTTTCTCCCCTCTCCTGTACCCCCACGCCCTCAATCCCCTCTGCTCTTTATCCCTTTCCATTGTTTCGCCTCGTACTACATCAGTTTTTAAAAATCTGCATTCCATACCTCTCTCCTTTTGTCATTTTGATACTATTATTCAAAAGCCCTTTCTTCTTTCACCCCTTCCTACCCTCAGTTCTTTCTCTTCTCTCCTTCGTTTCGTTCTAGACTTCCAAATTGAACAATTAAGTCTGGAAAACATCTGTCTTTCTGCTTCTCTAGTACTCGGCTCTGTCTTCATTCCGACTGCGGAAGTCCTTTTCCCCGGTGGGGCCCCTCTCCTTCCAGGCTTCTGGCTTTCTGCTCTGGGAAATCAGTTCATCCTTGCTTTCATAAGCTTGTGCACTTGCGTCTGGGAGGCGTAGTGAACTCTAGGACATTTGACACCCCGCTAACTAGCCGCAGTTAAACGTTTTGATCTGCAGGATCTCAGCTCCTACTGAATCTCTCATGTCCATCTATTGCATTGGTGGCCCCATTCTTAGGGACACACAGTACACGTCCCCTTTTAATGACTCCCTTTTCTGCTCCCACGCGTCCTCCTCTCAGACCCGCACTTTCTCACCCTCACCTGAGGAGGGAAGCTCCGACTTACAGGACTTGCATGTTGGGCTGTGGAAGCAAAGATGAGAAAGAAAAGCATAAGGACTTGAGATTTATTGGGATGATCACTTAGTGAGTTATGTAATGTCTAATTTTTTTTAAAAAAAGAAGCTCAATGGCCACAGGTTTATGTGGAACATCGGCTAGCCCTGGGACCTTCTGTTCCCACCCTTCTCCCTTCTCTCCCCTCTGCTGCCAGACCTCTCAGACCTGGAGTCCGCCTTCCTGCACTTCACCTTCTTGCCTGTTAGGGGAGAGACAGACAGAAGAAGACAGGACATGAGGGTCTGGTTGAGAGCCAGCAGGGGAATGCTGTGCCTGGGCCTGACCGGAGATGGCCCTCTTTGGGTTTTAGATTCCAGGAGAAAGGACACACTTACTGATGATGATGAGGATGCCCAGCAGGAACAATATGGTGGCCAGAGTCATGCCCACAGTCTGCACTGTGTCGTAGTCTGGGGAAGACAATGGGGGACATCAAGGTGAGGTAGCACCTCAGCACCCCCTCCCCCACAGCCAGTCTTCATATTGCCCAGCCAGCATCCCAAAATTCAGGGAAGCTGCAGGCTGTGCTGGAGGCTCCCCAGGGGGAGAGTGTGAAGGTGACATAGCTCCCCTTGTCCTCTCTCTCCCTGACCCCTTCCTCTGGACCTCCTCCTACTGCCTGCTCCCTGGTTCTGTCCACCATTGTCACCTTCTGCACTACTGCAACAAGCAATCTTCTCTACGGTCTCCCTCCCCAAGCCAGAGGGTAGCACCTGAGCCAGGTCAGGGTCCTCCTCCCCATTTTTATTGCGCTCCAAATAAAAGCCAGTCCTCATCACAGTCCACAGGGCCCTGTGAGATTTGCTTTCTGTTCCTTCTCAGACTTCACCCCACTCCACTTCCCCTCAACCCCTACCCCTGGGCACACCAGTCTCCCTGCTATTCCTGGAGCATGTCAGGCATGGTCCTACCTCGGGGTCATGCACTTGCTCTTCCTCTACCTGAAAGATCTTCCCCCAAATACCCCTCCCCTACCAACTTCTGGGCTTTATTCAAATGTCAATAAGACCTTCTCTGGCTGTCCTATTTAGAACTTCCCATCATCTTCTCAACACTGTAATCTAATTCTCTCCTTTATTTTCCTACATAAGAATTATTCTTTTCTAATTATTCTGCAGTAGATATTTTTTGAAATATTAATTTTTAGGACATCCATACTGTATCAGCAGTAGTCCAGACCTCTGCCCTCAGGGAGTTGACTTTATTATTGTGCTAAAGCACTAAACAAAACAAAACCAAAAATTGAGTTATGTGACCACATGTAGCCGTAGTGTGGTTCCTCTTGCCTGGGATTCAGGAGGGCCTCTCCTAGCAGAGCAGTCAGCATTGGCTGAGGTCTGAGGTAGGAAAAGGAGCCTTCGCCAGCTGTGTGAAGAGCTAGAGGAGGACTACTTCTGTCAGAGGAAGAGCAAGTACACAGACCCTGAGGTGGGCAAGCACTTAGCTTGTTGCAAGAACAGTGTGAGCGAGTGAAGGCAGAAGCAGGAGGGCTGTTTGGAGAGATAACAGGGACCAGGTCTGCTGGACCTGCAGGTAGCTTCTTTGAGCTTCCATGTTGTGGGAATGATTTGATGGCATCATCCAAGTAAATCTTTCCCACAATTCTCTTAGATGGGAACTATTATTTTCCCTTATTTACAGAAAGATTCAGAAAGGCAACATGGCTAGTGAGTGGATAAGCCAGGATTCAAATCCAGGCAAATCCCAGACTTGTTTGCTACTCTGGTGACCCCAATGCACCAGCCCAGAGTCCTGGTGAAGCCTGAAGGAGCCCAGAGAAGGTACCCCAATTTGATTTTGCCCTTCATGAGCCCAGCCATTGTGAGCTGCACCCACATGGTCCCATAGTTAGTAGCCCAGCAAATATCAGCCACAACTGAAGTCACTTCAGCAGTGACCCATGGGCATCAGCAGCCACCTTCATCCATCCCCAGGTGCTCTTATCACAGAATCTGCCACTCACCATAGTGAAATGGGTCAGGTTCCTGAGGAACTGTAGGAAGGAAGGCAGAGAAAGAGAGGGGAAAAAATATTTCAACACTAGGTTTCTTAACATATGTGAGGATCCAGAGGGGGCCACTGGCGTAATGGTTTCTGTGTAGAAATCAGATAAAAAGAGATCCCTTGTGCTGGGTGATAGAGCTTCAAGGTTTGAAGAGTAAGCACAGGATGGATTCCAGCTCCCACTTAATCCATTGGTTGATAACCTTTCCTTGCACAGTCCTGGCCCTAGGCCCTTGTGGAGGTCTTTTGCAAATGATGGATTCATTTCCTGAAATATAGATAACCCCTCGTGTATACAGGGCTGGGGGTGAAGAGACTCCAATCTCACCACTGGGCTGCTGAGTGTGTCACCTTCCTCTGAGCACTCCCTGAGACTTCTCAGTCACCGAGGTCTGAAAGGCAGCCACTGTAGCTACTGCTCTCATCCACTTGCTTCTGCCACCAAGTCCAGCACAGGGAGCTGTCCTATAATACACTCTATATTCTGCTATATATAATGTGTTTATGTTACTTATTTCTAAGGCATTACCGATTTTAAGATTCATAATTGATTTTGTAGCAGCTTTTCCGGGGGTGGGGATTATGCATGAATATGAATGTAACTCTACAACATGAAACATACCCATCTTTTAGAAAACTAACCCTGATTTCATAAATGTTAATGTGTGGGTAAAATATCTATGTATGTGGGTTTTCTTTTCTCCTTGTCCCAAACTATATTCTCCTTCAGGAGAACTCAGAACATCCTTTCCATTCAGGAACCCCTCTGATGGCCCCTGAATTCCTCCAAAAGCTCTCTGTACAGTCTGCTCTGTCTAGGGCAGAATTCTAAGGCACCGCTGGGGGAGGGGTGCCAGCAATGCCAGGTGTTGTCGTTAGGGTTCCTCCCCTCCCAGGCTCAGGAAGAGATGGCTGCCTTGATGTCATCTGAGGAGTCATGTGACTAATCCTGGTCAATGAACTGTGAGCGGAGATGTCATCCTCACTTCCAGGCTGGAGCACTTAAGAGCCCAGATAAGATCTCCCTGTTGACTTTGACCTGGTGACATGAATGTTCAGGATGGTAACCGCTCGGTTCATTGGTGAATGAGGTCCCCAGCTGACCTGTGATTGATGAGTAGCATAAGTGAGAAACAAATCTTGGTTGTCAGAAGCCACTGGACTTTTGGTACCATTTGTTACCCTGAATACTCTAGCCTAAACTGACTAATACAGGTGGCACCCAGGCAAGATCCTGAAGAGCACTGATTCACACCATGTGCAACTTCACCCTTCTCCATTCTCTGTCCAGTCTTACAAGAGGGAAGGGGGTCTTGGTTAGAGCAATGGGATTATCCTGCTTTTTGTTGCCTATGTTTCTATACACCATCCCTACCCAAACCAGCAGGAACCCACTGGGTGAATGTCCGTCCTAGAATCCTCTCTGGTTCTTTCCTGGCTGCTCTGTGCTCCAAGTTCTTCTGGTTCCAGCTACCCCAGCAGTCTGGATCCTCAGGGCTAGGCTGGGCTAAGGGTGGAGCCAGGAGGCAGGGAAAGGAATGTGCACCACTCCTGGCCAGTTGCCAGAGACAAGAGGAAGGAGGTGGTTGCTATGGTAACTGGGGCATCTGATGAAGAGAGGTAGTGGGCTCAGGCACCTCAGGCTGGTGGGGTTCCATGGGGGCTTAGGGGTTGGGTTTCTAACTCTGGAGCCAATCTTGACTCCCTCTGCTCCCTTTGTACCTCCCTTTGTTGCCCCTCCCCAAGGCTGGCTTCTGGCCAAGTTGAGGATCCTTCTCAGGAATAAGGGACCCAGGCCCAGTGGTCTCCTGCATCCCCTGATTGTCCCCCACCTCTCCCTCCTGCTCCGTGACAGGATGGGGAGAACTTCGCCTTTCTCTCCCCTCCCTTCCCCTCCCAACAATCCAGTATTTAGTTTCCCTAAGCAGTTTGCAAGACACAACATTACTTTTCCTCCTGGGGTTCCCCAAAACCTGTGGTCCCCTCTGTTGGTGTGACTGGGGAAAAGTGAGGAGGGGTTGGCTGAGGCGTCTGTCCTCCCACCTTGGCCCGCCCACTGTCATCGATCCTGCTAACCACCTCCATGAAGAGAAGCCCTGGGCTCCCGCCAGGCCTGCCGGCTCAGCCCAGCCCCCTCTCCCCAGGGTGGTTTCCAGCCTCTGCAGGGCCCCCCCCCCCCATCCCCGCCCTGCTTCCAATTCTGCAGATACGGCTCGGTGCAGCAGCCCCTGCCTGCCGGGAAAGGGGGCAGGGAGGGAAAGACTGGAGCGCAGCGGGGTTTCCTCAGCACGGCTAGCCTTATCCCCTGGCCCCGCTCTCGGCGCTGGGAACCCTTCCTCTGCCCCCAGCCCTCAATTAAGCCGTACTTCCCTTGCTCCTCTGGAGAAACGGGCTCAGGAAAGGAAAGGAGGCGCTTAGGAGAGTGTTTAAGCGGGTGCATATAACTGGGTTAATGGGTGTGAAATGCACAACGCTGTGGTTGGATGGAAGTGGGGAGGAGCAACTATGTGCTCCCAAGTGCACCCTCCAGTCCAGACCAGACCCCTGAACGAGGGCTGGAAAGGAGGGACCTGTCACCCATTCCCGCCCTGGGGGGCTGCTGCAGCAGATCAGGCCCCACCCTGTGCTGCCCTTCCTCCTCATTCCGCTCTGGCCTTTGGGTCTCTCTCTCTCACCTGCTGTGTCTTTCTCTATGCGTCCCTCTTTACAGTTGCCTCATCCCCTCTATCTCTCCCCGTCTCTGATCTCTCTTTCTCTGCATTTCTCTGTTTCTTTCTGCCTCTCCCCTTCACTCTCCTGGAATCGCTCTGAGTCTCATATTTGTCTTTTGGGGTCTCTGACTCTGGGTCTCCTGTCTCCCTGGATCCTTTTCTATCTCTTTCAGGCTCAGTCAGTCTCTATAATCCTTTCTATCTCGCTCCATCTCTCACTTCCTCCATCCCCCATCTACTCCTTTTCCTCCCTTTCCCCCTGAACCTGCCTGGCAGGCTTTCCCACCACAGAAGCTAGAGCTGGGGAAGAGGGATACGACCCCTCCCCCCTCCCCATTTCCGGGACCCTGAAAAGGGCGAGAACCTCTGTGGCTGCTGACCCATCAGCTCCCACCCTCAAAGCCCATCTCTTTGCAGTCCACTACCATGCTGTGCTGTGCAGGATCAGCCACCCGGTTGCCATAGCTACCGGTCCGAGCATCCTTTCTCTCCCGACTACGCTCTCCCACCAGGGGTCTCGCACAGGAGGGACGCGGCCGGGGAACGGTGCCCGAGAGGCCCAGGGGGCGCCAAGGGGTGCAGTGCAGGGGCCTCCGCCCAGGGGAGGGACGGACACCCCTTCCCCTCTCCCCTCCCTTTCCAGTGCTGGTATCTCCTCAGATCCTCTCTCCGAAACCCTAACACCTCGGAGACCCCCCTGCACCCTTTCCCCAGGCGACGCTCACCCTTGGTGGGGGCCTGGGTTGGGGTCGCCATGCCGGGCTGGAGCAGGGGGAGGCTGGATGCCGAAACGGTGAAGGCACGGCTGCGGCAGCTGGAAGACCGATGGACTGCTGTCTGGGGGAGATGGGGGAGCCCTGCTGTGGGGGGGGCCGCAGCCAATGGGGGCCCGGAGAGCCCGCCTCCGTCCAGGCCGCCCCCGCCCCCGCCCCCGCCCACCGCCGCGGTCCCCGCCCCTTCCCCGAGGGCGGGGGCGCCCCCTGCCGGGCCCGGGGTGCTTGCCGAGGCTGCCGCGGGAGGAACTGACATCGACAAGACGCGGTCGGGAGAGAAAAACACGTTTTATTGTCAGTGGGGGCGGCGGGGCGGAGGGGGGTCCGGCTGGGAAGTGGAGCGGTCCGGGCGGCGGCGGGCGGGGGCGGCGGCAGCGGGCGCCAGGGGCATCCTGTGGGGTGAAAGGGGCGTCAGAAGAGCCCCCGCCCCGGCCCTTCGCCCCCTCCGCCCCGCCCGGCCGACTTGGACGGCGCGGCAGGACCTGGCTGCGTCCCGGGGTGCCGGTGCTTCTACCGCCTGCGGCTGGACAGACCTGAGGGACACGGAGTTCGGTGTCAGGGCACCCCGGCTCCGGGGAGTGGGAGCGGCAGAGCAGTCCCCCGCCCTCCGGTTTGAGACCAGTCCCCATCCTCCACCCGCCCGAGAGGGCCGCCCGCATCCCCAACACCGGAGGCTCCCGACTCACGGCGGATGGAGCTGCGGAAAGTTCCCTCCTCTTCGTCAGGCTCCCCAGTCCTGGGGATGGAGGGCGGAGGAATTGGGAAAGGGAAGAGGGAGGCGGCCTCGCCGAGGCAGCCTCCTTCACGGACCCGGGCGCCCCGCGGCCGAGGTTCCGCCAGAATTCAGGGGCGCCAGGAGCGTTCCTCCGGGTGCCGTGAGCACCTCCCGGGAAGGCCTGGGAGTCGGGGGGGGGGGGGGATGGGGCCAGAGGGGCAGCGGGCCTCGAGGTGGCCTCTTCTGGGGGATCATCTACCGCCCGGGCCTCGGCGTTCGCCTCTGTGAAATGGGTTCACAGCGGCGCCGGCCCCCGCAGGGGGCGAGGGCGGTGAATAGGACGCCAGGCACCGGCCTCCGGCAGTGGGACCCGCCGGTAACTCCCGGTTGTTATTTATAACGACATCTGTAATTGTTTCCGCAGGGAGAAGGTACTTGTACTTTCGCGTTTTTATTTAACGACGAATCAAAGAGCTAGCAACGGGACCGAGGAAACTGGGCCACCGGTGGTGACCTCACCCTCCGGGCGCTCCTGCCGCGCATGACTGTGTTTGTGGGGCCCTGGCGCCTGCAGCCGCCGCCCTGGCCGGGAGCCCAGCCGGGCAGGAGGGCGGTTAGTTCACTGCGGGGTCCCGGGACCCGGCGCGGGCGTGGCACCGGCAGGTGCTGGTGCAGACTTGCTGACGGGCCTCGGCGCCGCCCTGAGCCCCGCAGAGCGGGAGTGAGAGCGCCGGGGGGCCTTACCTCTGCTGCTGGTTGAATTTGCAGCGGCACTTTCTGCCTGTGGGAGGGAGGGGAAACAGGGCTGAGAGCCCATCTGGGCGGCACCCACGGGCGCTCCGGCTCCAGTTGGCGCTGCCAGGGTGGGAGTGCCTGGGGCGGGGTCGAGGATGGCATGGGGGCGGGGCCAAATGGGGCAGTGCCTAGGCGGGCAAAATGGGGCGGGCAGAAGGTGGCGATAGGGCGGGGCTGAGGGCGGGGTGGGGCGGGACCGGGCGGGACCGGATTGTAAAGCCGGAGAACCCGGCTGGAGGCAGTGGGGCACTCACTAAGGATGATGAGGATTCCCAGAATGAAGAGGACCCCGGCGATGACGAGGCCTCCGATCCTCAGGGACTGATAGTCTATGGGAAGCAGGGAAGAGGTTGAGGGCAGGGAGGGGAGGAAGAAGGATAGGAGAAGGGCAAAATGGGGAGGAGGGAGCAAGGAGGAAGGAGGAGGAGGAGGAGAGGAGAAAGAAGATCAGTCAGAAAGGAGCAGGTATGGGAGGACAGAGGAGATGATCAGGGAGAGGAGAGCGAAGGAAGAGGAGTGGGCAGTGCAGGGAGGACGGTGAGAGGATGAGAGGGACAGGGAGAGGAGAAAGGGCAGGAAGCAGCAGGGGATGGGCCGCAGATTCTGAGAGGTAAAAGGAAAAAGAGAACCAGAGAGGGATCAAATAGAGAGACAGAGGCCGAGAGAGAGAGAGAGAGAGAGAGAGAGAGAGAGAGAGAGAGAGAGAGAGAAGAAGAAGAAGAAGAAGAAGAAGAAGAAGAAGAAGAGAAGAGAGAAGAGGAGAGAAGAGAAGAGAAGAGAGAAGAGGAGAGAGAGAATGAGGACGAGACAGGCAAACCCAGCCCCCTACCCCAATTCCCAAAGACAGATGCTCCGCCCTCCCTCACCGTAGGTGAATGGGTCATGTTCCTGTGGACCTTCTGGAAGAGAAAGAGAAGTCAGGGTTTGGGTGCTTCCTGGCTCCTTGGACAAGGGGGGCATAAAAAGACCCTTTGGGGGCTCTGCCTTCCCGGCCTGAGAGCTGGGGGACAGTTGGGCCCTGATCAAACTCCTTGCCCTCTCCTGGTCTTAGCTGCCTTCTCTGCACCGCAGGGAGCCCCTGACTACTCCAGCTCCCCATCTCATTACAAGTTGCCTCTGATTCCGTCACTCTGGGGAAGCCAGCCGCTATCCCACCCTTAGCCTGGCCTGGGCATCCTCCCTCCTCCCCCACTGCTAGCCTGTTACTGGACTCCATGTGGGACCCCCGCTTTCCCAGTGCCCCCACGACTCAGGTTAGGGTGAGTCTCCGGCTTGGTTCTCTAGCAGGATTTCCCAACTCCTGCCACCCTGGGTCTGAGGTGGGTAATGGGCTGCCTCCCAGACTCACCTGCTCTAGCCATGGCAAGGAGACCCACACCGAGGACCAGGATGTGGTTGAGAGATGCCATTGTCCTGGGGAACACCAAGAGATAGGCAATGTGCACCCTCGTTCCCCACCACTGGGGCCTGAACCCAAGGGGTTAAGTCGGAGAAGGACTTAATTCCCAAAGCATTTGGCATGCACCCTGAGTAACAGGGGCACCCCTGCTTCACAGGACACAGTGTCACCAAATCAACCCACAAAATGGGGTCACGTGGCCACAAGGACGGGGGTGAGGCACACACTGCCCACGGGGATCTCCTGCAGGCCCGGCCTCCCCACCGCAGACCGCAGATTCCCACCCTCTCCAGAGAGCGGGAGGCCTCACCCCACCCAGATGGACAGACAGACACACTGCAAGGGACGAACATGCCCAAGGGCCCACCTGCCCACCAGGGCTTGCTGTGTCCGAAATATCCCAGCTCTGCTGTGCTGGCCCTGACAGCCGCTCTCTGCCTGACCCTGGGTATAAATATCTCCCACTTCACGC